TTCGGTACGCATTCCACAATGCTCGGAAGATAATTTTTCGGGTCGCTATTCACAACGTCGGTGATCCAGCTAACCACCTAGAAAAAATTCTGATGAGACGAAAATATTGTTGTAGAAATAGTTATTTTTTCTATTAATTGGATAAAGCTGCTAATCTGAGCCAAGCTCACCTTTTGGCAGTCGGCGTTTGAAAGGGTGAAATTGTATTGGAGTTGGCCAGAATGGTTTATAGACTTGACAGTTCCTTCGAGTGTCCCGAGCTTTGAAGCGTAGTTTTTGATCTGAATGAAGTAAATTCTGCTTAATGAAACTGTGAGGCGTGCCCAACTTCTTAATGACCTCCGTTTCCGTATCAGGGGTTCGCTTGTCGTAGGGGTACTTGGTAGATAATCCAACAAACACCGGTTCCAATGTCTTTCGGTGGTGGCAATGCCTTAGGAGCCTATAAGAATTCTTGGTTAGCTCCACAAGAGTTGCCTTCCTTCACTTGGCTATCGGGAATTAGCGAAGAGATAGTCTACCTAAACGCCTCAAATGGTAACTAACAAGAACTAACCGCGATAATTCCTATAACAAGGATAGAAAGAAATAGACGTTCCATGGTTGCATGGGGTAGGAACTGTCACATAGTTTTTATACTGCTGTAGCACCATTGGCATAAAATTTGCGATTATTTTTAAAGCAATTCGCCTTTCATTTGGTTTTCAGCTTTTACATAAACTTGAATGATACAATCTGCTTCCTTTTTCCGGCGGGTACTAATGGGCAGATTTGATCCAAACAGCACTCGCATATTCGTATTGTTCAAAAACGAATACAATAATGTGCTCCATCAAAATTGACTTTGCTAACGAATTCATTAGATTCATGTGGAGCTTTTTTCTTAAATGGCACAAAAAGCTTTCTGCTTCGGAAATGCCAATACATATCACCTCCATTAAACATGCGAGAACGTTCGTAGGCTTGGCAACGACATTGCCACAAAAATCTAGGCCAACAGACAAACGGAGAAACGGACAATTGCGGTCTGTGTACCGTGCGGGTTAGAGCATAAACTCTTCATATCGACTGGCTACTGACATCCAATGTTGACGATGACATTGAATGGTTTATGTATAGTATCTTCCACAAACTCCAACCACTTTTTCCGCATTTGAGAACAATTTTGAGCGGAGTCATAAACACTTCATCTTACCCCGCACTGCCAATGTTCAAATTCCGCCTCTTGAGATATTAGACCACCGCTCTGCGATGACTTCTGACCAACTTTCTTCCGCGTTCGTTCACCCTTTGAACAGAGTTTCGGATCTCGGATTTCAGCCTCACCAACCTCAGTTCGAAGTCCGGCCATTGGATTCGACAGCGTTTCTCCGATAGCCTGTAACTGTCTTTTCGACCACCTTTTTCTGCAAACTGGAACGTTTTTGAGTAAATTTATACATGAACAATTATCTATTACTTTTGGGCTATCCCTAGAAAAATTTCGAGTCGCCTTTTTCGATCTCAAGCAAGCCTGGTGTGGCGCTCGGCTCTCTTGGCTAGCAAGCTGCCTTCACTTCGAGGAGCTCAATTGATGAGAGCATTGTACAACGCAAAGGATTTCTTCGGAACTAAACTCTGTGATTTTAGAACTATGTTAATAATCATTTTATTTTATCTTATTTTTTGGGAAAAATCCTTTCAGTCGAAAATTGTCGTTTCCCTGCGCGCTACACGAACAGCTGAATTGCTATTAGAAACAGACTTTTTCATTATTTAACAAAGCTAATATCTAAAACTACTTATTGCTAAATATAAACTAGATCAAGTGCAATATCCACAGGCATTGCTGTTTCATTAGGTTATAATAGTTCGTGTCTCGGCAAAGGTTAGACACTGGAGGGCAATTCGTCACTCCTATTCTTGGATTGACTGAATCGCGAAGTGCTGGAATGGGGAATATTCTTCTAGAATTGAAAGAGCTAGGGCAAAAATAGGAATGATCCAAAAAAANAAAAAAATTTGAAAAAAAAGGTGTTTTCCTCTAGTAATCAATGAAATGATTACTTGATACCGCGCGAATGCGCCGTGCGCTCTACATCATTCTGGATATTGGACGTACATATACATATGAATGCGTGTGGAATGTCACCAGCGCAATCAAACCAATCCCGGTGAGTCGCAGAGTGAACGGTCGAATCGTAGCTTTTCCAGAGAAATTGAAAGCATTAATACAATCCGTTCCCAGGGAATTCGGTCTGACCCGAAGGAAATGTAGGCGCTTTTGTTTTTCTGCCTTAGGATACTCCACAGGTTCACGTTCAGACGAAAGTGTAGAAGTGAAGGTTGTAGATTTTCATAGTCTACAGGTCCACATCTGTGTAGGCCTCTGTATCAACAACGTCGAGTTTTTGGGATGGACTCAATCTGGGGGACCACACGGAGGCGGTACGTCGTCTCTGCTTACTGCGCTCTCGTTAATAATAAGGGGCATAAAAGTAGCGCCGTTTACGAAGAGTCAATCTGTAATGTGATATTTAATCTATTAAATAGTTTAATAATTGCCGGAGCTTGACACTTTGATAGTGACCTCTTGCTGACATTAAGAGATTCTTACTAGAAAAGAAAAATTTCAAACCACACTTGTGCTTATTGAAGCAACAATAGTAGGACATCTGTTACAAGTTTTTGGACATTGTTGTGTCATTAGTTGGTAGTAGTAGGGATTATTACACAAATGGGCTACCGTTGCACAATTTGACACTCCTGTCCGTGGATTCACAAGGTCGCGGCACGCTACACATAGTTATTTTAGTGAAAATTCAGTGAGATCGTGAGCTTTCTAGAAAGTTACTTTGGAAGAGATTGTTCGAGTTAATGCAGCTCCACAGCTTCCTCTCCCCTCAACGTTTTCCACCCTGACTTTCTAGTATACGTCCTGGGTCTCCGGGTACGCTATAGCTCCATCCGAAAAGGGGTTGCATGCACATGGGGTGCACGCTTTAGTGCTTGTAAGGGCTCATTGGTCTCTGAAGGTGATCTGTTTAGAATTTGCTTTGGATTGCGCCACGTACTCGACTTTACTCAGTACAATGTGAAAATGATTGTTGGTTGCTTAGTCTCCGTCGCTCCTTTTTTAGGTTTGGAAGCT